ACTTACTTAAATGGACTAATTGAACGTCGAGATAAGCGAGTAAAATGGACGGATTTCATGTCAAGTCAGCTCTAAAGTTTCCTTCCCTTAAATTCTAATAAATTTTCAGAGCTATAATTGACTTCAAACACAGCAGGGCAAAGAGTGTTCCAAAATGCACAGCTAAAACTCACTCGCTCATCGGTTGCTTAATGCATATAGTATGTATTTATGTAAATATACGCTAAATTTGTGTGTCTTTGAACTCTAAATTGAAACCGCGGATCAAAATTTTCTTCGGAAACGACATTCATATTTTTTTAATAATTCTGTATGTATGTATGTAGGTATACATTTCAATTCATGACATTTCTCATTTCATTGCAAGCAAATATGCATTAGTCGACAAGTTTACTTTTTTACCGAAATTTTCACTCTAAACAGCTCAATCTTACTTTTACCGTTCTTTTTTTTCTGTAATCACCTAAGCTAAGTATAAGTTGTCATTGCACTCTGCGCGAATTAGTGTTAATTGATTGCTTGTCAAATCAGAAACATGCAATGCCAATGGCTGGTATACTTTTCTTTTTTAATTTGTTAATTTTCTGTGCATACTTTTGTGCAACAGTTTTTGCCTGGAATTTCTAAAAGGTAATCATTATTTTTTCATAGAACCCATTGCATTACGGTAAACAAAGGAAAATGAACTCCATTTCCTATTGCAATCGGTTAATTGTGTGGGACGAAAAGTAATGTTTACACTGAGCAAAGCGGTTAGGTTGTTTGATTTTTAATGGAGGAAATACAGTGGCGATCAAAATGGGATGAATGGTGTTTCGTTTTTAATGAATATTTACAATGTTTTTCAAGCTAAAGTATTTTTAATATTTTGTTATAAAAACACGGTTCATGCTATAACAAAAACTATACAAGTCACATTTTCAAACTTAATACAGAATTTGGAAAAATTCCACAAATGTTATCTAAATTTCGAGCTTCTTTAACCAGAAATTTTATTTTATAAGATTCTAGTAAAATAAGTGCAAGCTTTGAGCAGCTTAAAAAATCGCATTGATGTGTAATAATTTTTTTATGCTGACAACTTTTTTCATATAAATAGCGAAATTTAGGTAAACTGGCGTTGACTTTTTTTATTTACTCGCATATTTTTCCACAAGAAATTCATGTTTATATGGAAAAAGGCCGTCGACAAAAAAAAAATATTTAAAATCCACGTGATTTTTAAGCTGCTCAAAATTTGTACTTGTTTTACTAGATTTTTATAGGCTTATTAACTGCGTACTCAAAAAATTTCTAAAAATTCTGATTAAAGAGCTCGATATTTAGATAAAGATTTGTAGAATTTTTCTAAACGCTGTATACAGTTTCAATTATTACACAATTATTTTCATGAATTTTTTTTGATTATTAATTATTTATGGTAATATAGTTCATTCTATAAATAAACCATATAAATCAAATTTTCACATTTTAGTTAAAGTTCACAAAAATGCAAAAAATTTTCATCCAAATTTTCAACTTTTTATCAGAATTTCTAGATATTTTTCGAGTATGCAGTATTGCAGCTTTTTCAATTTTAGTCTGATGAGGTGCAAGTTTCAACCAGCAAAAAAATCGCGTTGATTTTTGAGTTTTTTTTTTTTTTTTGAAGACTGCTTTTGCAGTGTCTTGTACGCTGGGCTTAGTAAACGCCAGGCCCAAAAAAGCACACCAATTAAAAGTCCAAAATTGCCTCGAATTGCCCCACCTTTCGATGAAGACCAAGGCAAACCAACAAAAGACTACGTTTCTGGACGTCTGCCATTTTCAGACCCTTGGAAAGGAGCCTCTGCATAACTGGTTAATGCCCTCAAAGGACATGGTGTCTTGGTGTTGGTTGACATGGTGTCCATCATGAGTACTTGGACCGCACATACGAGAGTCACGATATTCAAATCGTGTTTGTCGCAATGTAGCTTTTTCAAGGAACAAGTTGAGAAGACTTTTGTTTCTTCAAAATTTTTATAATGGCAATCACAAATAAGTAGATCTAAATTTCTGACTGTGTATGATCAAACGTGCATTTACGTTGAAGACATAAAACCAAAAGAATAATTGTTATGGTATGGAAACGCTGAAATTTCGCAAAGAAAAACACTTGTTAATTTCCATTAAATTGCAACAACTTGACGATGACGGCGGGCGGTCATTCGTAAGCGAATGTATGAACATTAGGGTGGTTCAAAAAAAAATGCATGAGTAAAAGTAAATTCGGAAAATTTATGCTCTCTCCCCCTAGGATTGTTCTATACCGAAGAAAATTATACCCCTATTTTTTTATTTTGATTAAATAAACAATTGGGTATTATTATTGGGAATCCTTTGCAAAGTAACAGAGCTTTCCGATCGAAAACTATTGATTTTAAAGAATTCTATACCATTTATACGAAAAGTTGTTTTTTCCCCATTTAAAAATACATGGAAAACTTTGAGCGCTTTGAGCGACCTCTAAATATTTTTTGATTTCAAAATAAAAAAAAATAGGGGTAACATTTTTTTCGGTATAGAACAATCCTAGAGGG